ATATTTTGTTGAAATAAATTTTCACTAGTATGTACATACTAATTGTCGCACCTATTCAAAGTATGTGGGTGATATAGTAAATTTTCACTAGTATGTACATATTGATTGTCACACCTATTCAAAGTATGTGGGTGATATAGGAGAGTGAGATCTGACCGCCCCTTTTCCATGCTACTTCGCGGGGGGGGGGGGTCCTAAAGTGCATACTAGGTTTAGTGACAATCGGTCTAGCGGTTCACCAGTTATAAATGGACCCCCAAAACGTAATGATTTAGATAAAACTTTCATGAGTTATGTGCTAAATTTTCATATTTCAAACAACTTGATTTATCTTTATTCGAAGTTGTAAAGGCAGCGGAGAGCCTTCTTTAAAATCGTCTTCATTTCTATCATGAATTCCTGTTTCTTTGTTTGGTTTGTAATTAAGTACAAAGCTGCACAATGGGCTATCTGTGCTCTTCCCACCACGAGTATCGAAACCCGATTTCTAGCGTTGTAGGTCCGCAGACATACCGCTGTGCCACTGGGGGACGATGAATTCCTGAGTTTTACTGGTATATTTTTAGACTATATTTTTAAATGCTATTTTTGTGAAGTTTCATTTCTACCAAAATACATTTAAACCTTAAACCACAGTAACGTCTGTTAGAAAATATAATTATATATATATGTATATATATTGTATCAAAATTTTTACATTTATATATATATACTCTGAGTGGTCACAAGTAAATAGACACCTAATTTTTCGTCATTTAACTGATTTATGCTAACTAATTTGTGTTCACAGAGCATTATACAAATGAAAATGGTCCGCACACTAATTATCTTGTGCTACAACATGCTTAGAACTCAAGGTTCTCTCGAATTGTCAGATTTTGTTAGAGGAAGGATAGTTGGTCAAGCAGATGGTGGAATAAGTCAGCGGCAAATTTTGCAGAATTTGGGAATCTCGCTTTCGACAGTCAACAGAATCATCGTGCAGTTCAGGAAACACGGCAAGGAAACGACTGAGCAGCGTTCGGGTCCATCGGAGAGGACAAAAAGGGCTGTCAAGAGAAGCATTGAAATGGATCCCAGATTAATGACT